TGCTTCAAGTACAAAAGTGGTGTAAAAGAGAACAGAATTTTATCTAGTGTGCTTCAAGAATAACTAGTCAAAGTGTAAAAAGTACAAAGATTATCCCCAGTGCTTAAGTACAACAGTAGTGTGAAAAAGAACAATTTATCCAGAATGCTTCAGTATAACAGTCAAGTGTAAAAAGTACAAAGATTATCCCCAGTGCTTAAGTACAACAGTAGTGTGAAAAAGAACAATTTATCCAGAATGCTTCAGTATAACAGTCAAGTGTAAAAAGTACAAAGATTATCCCCAGTGCTTAAGTACAACAGTAGTGTGAAAAAGAACAATTTATCCAGAATGCTTCAGTCAAGTTGTTATGAAACACCAAAAATGAGAAACCATGGATATATTTTGAAAAATATACAACTTTATTACAGATAAGTCTACATTTATTACACATAAAATGTTTAAACAACAGGTTAGTTTGTTGTTTTTCATTAGGCATGTAATTCTGGTATTTAAATATACACTAATGAAACCCAAATTACATTCAATTGCTATAGAATAACCAGCAGTATAGAAAAAAATGTATTATTGTTCATAATGTTTAGAAACTATATTTTGTAGTTTGTAAAAGTAGCTATTTATTTATAATTAAAATTATCAAAACACCCCATTGTGGACTACTTCCTTGTACATAAGTTTCGTATATAAGTTTTACATTCTTTACTAATGAAAAAGTCAAACAAAAAGATACAGAACGGCTACCTGTCCTAAAAAAGCATATTCATCGAAACTTTCGGAGTGGAAGCTCGTTCTCAACATTCTGTCAAAAAATATATATTTTAAAACTTAATAAAGAACAGGGAAGCATAACAACTGTTTAAACAGGATGCAGTAAGAGAAGAAAAAAATCTAGAGAATTTTACAACAATTAATGAAAATAAAACACATGTACCTTTTTATTGTTTATCTATGTAGATAACTACTGTATGTTGTTTAGTATTTTTTTACCACTGTGATAACATATTTCATAATAGTTTTACTATATCTTCCTTTTATGATTAACTACTGAAATAGTCACTACTATAAAGCTTTACTACGGGGAAGTTTTAATATTGATTGTTACTATTTTACTTTAATCATTGCCCCCTCTATTCTTCTTTTAATACAAAAAAGAAGTTTCAGTTTCTTTTTTAACCCTATGTTTTAACAGTATTTTAGTTTTCATGGTATTTTTTCTTTTTTTAAACACGCTTCAACTGCTGACACTTTTTATTAAGATCAGAAACATGTCTGAAAGCTTAAGAAGTTGACATAGGTATTCTGTTTGATCATTGATTTAGTTAAGTTTGTTTCACTTCTGCATTTCAATGTATCATTTTGTGTGCTTACAAAGATATATGGTACATACTACATAAAGCCCATTTATGTATATTTCTGTGTAAAATATGTACAATTTGAGTCAGGATGTACAAAAATGAATACAATTTTGTTCTATGTCCACACAAATGTGAGCCCTTTTTTTCATATATTTATCGAGAGGATTAATTTAAAATTAAGAAATGACATATTGAAATTGCATATGAAAAATAATATAAATTGTTTAACTTCATTTGTTCTTCTTATTTCTTGTATATTGCTCTTAAATTATTTGCAATAATATATTAAGTAAAAGGATGTTTCTTTCTGCCAGTCCCATAGTTTTGCATCAAGTTTATGGTCTGAAGGGCCACTCGGCAGAGTCACTTGCAAATTCATAACTCTGATATTTGACAAAATGGAATACTTATTTCACAAATAAAACATGAAAAGTGTTCAAACTTACATTTCTGTTGCATATTATGGCATGTTAATTCTAAACATAGCGCTTCTAGATGTTTTATTTTTACTTTTTCCTAACTTACATTTATTTCTCCCACTCAAATTTAATTACATTATTTTCTGTTAGCTTGATGTTTGTTCAGAAAGAGATTGATCTTTAATGCTCTTTGGTCAAGAATACAGTAGTGTCATGTGAAAATTAATCGTATGTAAAAAGTTGGAATTTAATACAGTCAACAGTAATTAAGCAACTTGAATACATAATTTAAAATCTTCCATGACATTTAGAATGCAGAATTTTTTCCCCTATATATTCTGGTGATTTCCTTTTCCTACAAGTGTTTTTGTGTGATACTATATCTACTGGAAAGCTACAGGAATATTATTCTATTACAAGACATCATCAACTACAGATGTTAATGAGGGCTGCAGGCTAAGCCTGCAATGGCAAACCAATCAGATGACATAAATCCCTTTTTTATAATTTTCAATTTGAATACAGTGTAAAGTTTATTATATTCAAACAACATACATGACAAAAACTTATTATTTATGGAAAACAAGTTATAACTATTAAATATAAATTGATCTTGACAAAACATTCTGTCCAAATATAACAGTGATCACATTTTAAAAGATTATGTCATCTTTCACCAATAAATTTTTGAGGTTTGATTATCTAATTAATGAAATTGAAAAGTCTTTCAGTTGATGTAATCTATTAGAGAATTACGAGTACATCTGACATTAACTTAATCTTATATATTTATTTATTTCAGTTTGATAAGACTATAGATTAATCATGTTATTAATTCATACCAAAAAATTAAACAGCTACTCACAGTTCCTCAGAATTTTTTATTTCAAATTTTCACTGTAACACTTAATGTGAAAGGTTAATTATGTTTAATACAAATTGCATGATTATGTGTATTCTATCACTATTTCAACTTTAGAGAAATGTGTCAGTTCCAACATACAGAGATAAAAATAAAAAACTTTTAACCCAAATGCTTTTGAAAGGTAGACCTTTCTTCATCACGAGAATTAGAGGAAATCAGGACTCTCAATTGTATTGGTTTCTCAGCTTCTAAATATAAGGTGCTGAGGTTTAAATATTGTTAAAAAGTGTGAGTAATTTACCTTTTTTAATGATGAGAAAGCTGGTTGGAGATTCAAGGGAAAGTGGAAATGTTACAAAGTCATAAGTGTCTATGCCTGCTTAACTTATGTTCAAACAGAATATATGTATGTGTATATATATATATATATATATGTTTGTATGTATTAATTCTGAAGAAGCTGTAAAAGAAAAATGTTGGTAGTAATAAGAACCAAATATATTTACATCTGGAGTGTAAAGGTCGTTCATCTAAACTTTTATCACAATGTGTAAATCCCTCCAGTATGCACTACAAAGTTTGAAAGAGAACAAACTATTTCCAGCAGTTGACTGAAAACATCGTAGTGCTACAGCAATAGGCCTAGTACATACAAACAAATTGATCAGGACAGAAAAACAGATAGGTTTTCTTCAACAGTGCCAAAAAAATAACATTATACCCATGGGAATCCAACGTCTTATCAGACTACCAACCTGCCTACAAAGAAACCCCAAAACATTAAGTAACGAACACCGTTTCCTCAAAATCATCCTATGAGATGTTATAGATGCTAATTATGAAAGAAAACAACATCATAAGAAATTAATAGAAAAAAACTTTTTGATAATAAAAAAAATAACAAACCTGGCTTAAATCCATCTCGTCAAAGATCCAGATAGAGGAAACAAACGTTTGTCAAACACGTCATAAAAGGAAGCTATCAACTCTACTAGCACTTAAAAGCCAAAACATGTTTCACAATTACGAGAAGACACATGTTCCAATAAAAAATGATATAAAACTTCAGCTCAACGCTATGTCTAGAGTTTGTATATATTAACCCTGAAGAAGCTGTAAAAGCAAAACACTGGTAGTAATAAAAAAAACAAATATATTGACATCTGGAGTGTAAAGGTCGTTTATCTAAACTTTTGTCACAGAATATATCATACATTTATAATACTGTTTTATAATTAACCCAAACACTAATTCTTGTTTAGATCCAAAAAATGGTCCCACCATGCAAAATATGAATTTTAAATAGAAAACATATTTTGAAATAAAAAATATTCATATTCAGTGGGATGAGTTTGCCTGTTATGGGTTCGTGGTAGTGAAACTCTTTGGCTCATTATGTTGGATCATGTAACTAATTCCAAAACTATTTACTATTTTTATTGTTTTTATACGTTATACCATGAAAGTATTACAATGGTTGTAACAAAGTTTAATGATTATTGGAATGTAATAAGAATTTCTTGACATCTTTTGATTCTTTTAGCTTTGTAATGTTGTATGAAAACTTTATTAAATTAAACTTTGCCGTGTTGTGTGATGTTGTATGGAGCTGTACTAGTGAAAAAATACTTTAGTTATTATTACATATTTACATATGAAGTAAAACATGTATTGTTATAGCTCTTGAGAAACAACAGGGATGGTAACTAACAGGGATTGATATTTTAGTGAATAATTAGGTTCTATGGTTTATGTATGGTTTTCATACTTATATCTCATTTTGCATTGTAAGTTCAGTAAGCATGTAAATTTATTGTGGAGATTGTATTTGACACTTGAGAAACAGAAAAGAGATTTCATCAGTTAAATATATTTTTACCTTCATATGTGAGATCTTACATTTTTGGTCATACTTATATGATCGTAGTTTATCTAGGCTTATCAACAGTTAGGAGTTCTTAAAAATAACTTTCAACAAATTAAAATAATATAAAGATAATTTATAGTATGACATGGTTTTTAAAGTTTTCTGAAGTTGTTTATATGGAAAATTCACCTGATCAGGTTCTAAATGAGGCACTAGTGTGTGTATGTATCATTCTACCTTCAGAAATTCCCAAACAAATGTTTAAAAATAACCCACCTCAATCAACTTTTTTCGATACTTTTCCTCTTTGTCACGCCATAATCGTAATGGTAGAGGAATCCCAGATTGCTTCAATAAAAGTTCCATCTCCTCAGTGGTGAAAACTGGAAGAGGGTCTACATCATACTTCCTTACTAGTTCAGCAAGGTATTCTGTGTAATGTGTTCTACAATTTAAAGAATACAATAAAGTTTGACAAAAAGTATGAAGTATTAGATTTCAAAAAAAAACTACAATTTAATAATCTGACAAGATATATACATTTAACCAAGTATTAAATGTGTGTAAAAATTACATATTCATGAAGTCTGAAAAGGTTAAAGTACATTCTCTAGGATTGTTTGTGCAAGTACTGTGTGAATTGTGACTTGTGATTTTATGAAACAAATATAAAACAAAATATTATGACAAGTTTGAAATACTTTGAGATAAATATTGTTAAGTTTCCGTTTGTTAATTAACTTTCCGTAACTTCGTTCCAACGAAACTTTAGCGG